TAATAAAATTATAATACTAAATACTCAATAAAGAGAATATCTTTTGTAAGACAATTTAGTACAAAAGTTAAGATTTAAAAAATAAGTGTATAGATCGATTTAGAGGCAACTTTGTTTAAATAAAATAACTATAAGTGAAATATTTAAATATTTTAAAATTAATAATGTACTAAAACTTAAGAGTCAACGATGAACATAAAACTTTTATTAAGAAAAACAATATTATATTTATTTATAGGATTTTATTAACTTCAACTTTTTGGACAAATTTACTATAAATTGAAGATACCTCCATAGAGAAAGTAAGTGAGTGCATATCATATAACGAAATAAAATTATTCATTCTAACTTTTATTTTGTATATAATTTTTCTTGTATATAAGAGGTGTTAGTCTAAAGAAGCTGAGTAATAATGTTTGGAGAGTGTTTTGTTTTCCTAAAAGAATAGTATATAAGAGAATATATGAAATTTATTTGAGTCTTAAGAAGCTTGTGCAAAAATATTTAACCTATAAAATATGTACAATTTTTAGAAATAATAAAAATCTTAATTTTGAATTAAGTATTAGATATAACTTATTACCTTATTTTCTCACACATTTATCTTTCTAACATTGTTCTCTCACACATTTTGAAAGAGTTACTTTTGAAAACTTTCTAAAAATATTTTAAAAATAAATTCAATTCGCCTTCTCTCATTTTTCAACTTCTTTATTGCATAATAGTGGAGACAATAAAAACTTGTAAAATTTACTCATAATTAATAAAATAATTATTTATTCATTAACTTCAAAATTGTATGGACATATTCACATGTAAATTCATTTTTTGATATTACACTTTTTTATTTTATCTAAAATAGAAATAGTTGAGTACAAAATATAACTAATTATAAAATTTCAAAGACTAATTTTATAAATAAGTCTTGATTATTTGAATTAGTTTAACTATAAAATATAAACTTATTAAAGTTAATATATCATTTTTTTTCCCTTTAAACCATAGAAAGTGTTACTAAAGAACATTCACATCAACAAAACTAAGTTTATTTAAATTAGTTTTGTTTTTACATTAGATTTTAGGTGCTTGCTCTAATGCTTAGACATTTGGGAGGGCATAAAATGTCCCATTAGGTGCATAATAAAGTAGTTTTAATTAATTTAATATTTATTTATTATCATTTATTTTTTATTGCAAAAGGGTTCTTTAATAATTTTGTTATTGCAAGGTCTTAAAAAATTTTCCATTGCATCAGTATACCTTGTGTAAATGCCACTTTAGTTTCCTTTGTCTTTATGCATTCCTGTACAACGTAAAATTACAAATCTCCTTCTCCGGCGCGACGAAAAATGCATTCTCCATTCCATCGCAGTTAACCTTTTTTGGTCGACGTTGATCACCTTCTCCAGCATGACTACGTAAATCACCTTCTTTGATTCGCCGGCATAGATTACCTTTGCCGATGTGCCGATATAGATCATAATCACCTATTGGAATGGGGATTTTTGCCTTCATCTTTACGACTAAGATCACCTATCACTCGGCATAGATCACCCTTCACCATTGCACCGAACACCACCAACTAGCGTACGACATAGGTCAGACTCCCCTGTATGGCTGTATCATAAGAAAAGATTTATAGACTATGTTTAGAGCTGTGTTTGGAAGGGGAAGAGAGTTATTTTTAAGTTCTGTTCGATAGTTAATTAAGTGAAAAGAAATTTGGGAAGTCTTTTAAATTCTCCAAAATTCTCTTTAACTCTTGAGTTTCCTAATCTTGAATTTTTAAGGGTTTTTTCTACTCTTAAACGTAAAGATTCTAACCTTTTTTCTAAAGTCAATTTTTTAACTTAGAATTTTTTTAAAAGATTTATAAAAATTTAAAAATTATTAATTTTTAAAAAAAGAAAAATATTTTTTTATTTTTTAAAAAATAAAAAATATATAAAATAATAATATTATTTGTAAATTTAAATCTCTTTACCGTAATCAATATTAAACATTTATATAAGTGAAAGCTTTAACTTCCTTCTCTTCCTATTTTTTTTTTTCTCTTTAAATTATTTCTTTCTTTTTCCCTTTAAACTTCTAAATAAAGCTTAAATATCTTTCCACGAATGTCTCCTTCTTGAGATGCATGGAGTTCTGATTCTCCAATATGGCATGTATTTCTCTCTCTCGGGCACCAAAGAGAAAAGTCCTTTAATATATAGAAGCGTATCCTGGAAATTTACACCAAAGTACAGTTTAACAATAATAATTAGAAAAATATTTTAAGGATTAATCAATAAATAATTTTTAATAATATAAATGAAATTCAATACACTTAAGGAGAGCATTGCCCCTTCAAGGACATCATAAATTTTACCTATTTTTTAACATTTGATTTATTATGTTAATGCTTGATGTTGGTGATATATTTTTTAAAATTTATTGTAATTCTATATTATGTTTAATGTATTCTTAATTAGTGCTTTAACTTATGAAAAATGTAAAACTTGTATTTTAGTTACCTAAATTACGGATGATAAAAATAAATATGAGAATTTAAGAGTTCAATAAATATAAAAGCGAGGATCAAAATTGTAATATAACAAGAACAAATAAAAATAATTTTTAAAAATAAATATGAAGATACGTGTTATAATACCTTACTTAGACCCTATTCAAAACCATCCTAAACTTCAAATTTTATTCTTGGCTAAACTCATCCTACCTTGACTTATGAATTTCTCTAAAAAATCTTACTTGTCTAATTCATTTTAGGGATAGTTTCAGCTTTGAACTTTGCATGCGAAATCAACTTCCACCTGCCGTTATGATCATCCTAGCTAGAACATAATTTTTTTAAAAAGTATATATAGTCTTAAATACGTAAAGATATTAAAATTTCTAAAATAATTAAATATAAATTACCAAACTTTTACTAACAATAATGATTAGTAGATTAATTTAAAATTAAGACAAAAATACGAAAAATATATCATCTAACATATTATTTTTAATTATAAATTAAAATTTATTGAAAACTATAAAAATAATTTTATTTTTCTTTATTTCTTATTTAATATTTCATGCAATGTAGTTTATGATAAATTTTAAATTAATAATTAAAAATGTATTTAAAGGAGTATATTCTTATTATTCTCACTCATTTTAATCACATTATTATTACTATAAATGCTATGCATTTAACGAACATGTCTAAATGTGTATAATTAATTTAAATCCTTTTCAGTTATCAAGCACTTTTGGATAAACTTTGAGATGAAAAATTAATTTTAAGAATTAAATATAAACTTGAAATAAAGAAAAATAAAATCACGCGTCAGATATAACAAGAAGACTTAAAATGCAACTAGACTAAAACCAGCAATGATACATGTAATTGTTGTCGCAGCTTTTTTATTTGAAGATATTGTATTTAATGATGGAACCTCCTAGGTAAAGAAGTGTCCCACATAAACAAGAAAGTATAATAGTTCAGAATTGATGAGTGACCATAAGAAAAGGCATCACGGGATGAACTTTCATTTGTTGGTAAACCGTGCCAGCAATGATAGTGGGTGCCATCCACACACTTTGAGGGCACTTTCGAGTTCAATTGACATGAAGGTGGATTTGGTTGCCAACTTTGTATAGGAGCGGTTCCAATAATGATTTTTCCAGCTTCTGAGAAACTTTTACTTAGGTTTTTTCTCTTCCGAAACTTTGAAGGCTCTTTCTGGCTATTCTTCCAAAACAATTCGTAATATTCTCGTATACAAATGTGTTAAAGTAGACTATACCAATATACATGTAGACTCTACGACGAATATGTTAGGCATTTAATCTAATAATCATAAGTGGATAAATTTTCAACATTAAGGATTAGGTATATACCAAACGCCTCCGTTTTACTAGTATTATTGGTCCGTAAGTTCTTCGGGGCAAGTTTATATCAATTTGCTACCAATCACGTCTCTATTTTTGTCAACCTTTTGGTATAACGGCACAAACAACTTCATTAACAGAAACATATTTTATTTCATAAAAACTTTCCGTCAACATTTTTGTTAATTTTTTCAACTAAATTATAAAAATAATTATATTATTTTCTAATTATAATATCATGTCAATGATAAATATTGATTTTTATGATAATTTATTTAAAAATATATTTACAATATATTTTAATTGATTAATAATATAAAAATTCTTAATCGGACAATACATTACCATTAAACTCAATTTTTTATTATTGATGTTTAATTGCATGAAATATTATTATTCTGCTACTCTGATTCTTATTTAGTCTAACCCTATGAATTGTATTAAAGGGACAAATGTTGTCAAACTTAAGTATTTCAATGGTCTCATGTGATACTTTCCTTTATTAAATTTCCCATTATGATACGTTTTTGAAAGACAGCTATGTCCCTCATCAGTGGACCACGCTCTACGCTGAAGGGAAGACTTCCTTAATGTGAAATTATTGACACTGAGGGACAGGGGTTTACCAAACCCATTTAGCCAAAAAAAAGAAAAAATTTAAAATGTTGAAAAAAATTGTAACATGAAGGAGAAGCTGGAGTTGCAGTTTTCAGTTATATATAAGGCCATTCACTTGTCATTATGTAAATGTCAGCACGTTTTTTTAAGGTGCGCATTATTAAGGTTCCAAAAAGAACACAGTAACGGAGAGAACAGAAATACGCATACAATTCCTAGGTGTTGTTCACTTGGTTTCATCTCCCATTGTTCGTTCTGTTTTTCAGAGAAGCGCATTTGCGATTCTAAAGGTTCTTCTACGTCTTTCAAAATTTTCATTTTTGGTTAAAATTCGTTATGATTACGAACCATATGGAATGGTAGTTTGACAGGAATCTTTAGTTCTTAGTTTCTTACCATTTTAACAGCATTATGTGATTTCATTTGGCATTATTTAATTTTTTACATTGAGGTTTTGTTGTCTCTGAAATGAAGCTGTTAATTGTTTTGCAGGCTCATTTTGTCAAGATATGAAGAAAAAGGTGATGGGTAAGAAGAGACAATGGGTTTCCTTCTTCTGGTGGTTTGGAATGACTCTGCAGCTGTGTTTCTTGCTCGGTGCCTGTTCTGAGAAGACTTCATTTAGGTTCTCTTCTCCCTCTCTTTTGCTTCTCATTTTGGTTATATAGCATTAGCAATTCTGAATTTTATTTGCGCTTGTCTTTGCGTGTGTCAGAGAGAACAAAAGGGAAAGCAAGGGAGATAGATAGAGCATGACATGAGAGCATTAAAAAGGAAGTCATTCTAAGTTGATGTTTTTATTCTTTCCATGAAAAGTAATTTAAAAAGATTATTAGCTAAGGGGAGAGAGAGAGAGAGAGAGAGAGAGAGAGAGGGCATAAGCAGAAAGGGTCACGGTTTCTTTGTCTCTTGTGTTCCCGTTTCTTCTCACATGAGAACTTTTAGATTTCCATGTCCTTTATCACATTAATCTATTAATTTGTTATTCTCATGTTACCTTTCACTTGTGAGATGGGTGAATTACTTTAAACTTTATGCAAATGAAAAGACATTTCACAAGTTAGCCATTTGATGGAAGGAATCGATTCTTGCATCTCCGTCTCCCCCTAGACCCTGTCATTACTCTATTTTCACATGTCTACTTGCAAAGTAGTCTTACGCTTGATTGTTGATTGGATCAGAGTTGAATTAGGGAGGATTGAAATAGGATTGATGTAGATGAAAGAAAATAGAGTAGAGATAATGTATTAGATACATAGAAATTGAAATGAAAGAAGTGAAAAAAAAATTATATAAAATATATAATTTTTATAATAATTTAAAAAATATAAAATTTTTATTGTATATTTTTATCTTTAAATAAAATTATTTATTATTATATTTATTTATAAATATTTTTTTATTTTTAAAAAATAAAATAAAATAAATTGCCGCCGTGTGAAAGCTGCCTCATGAGGATGGGAATATTTCACTGTGGGCTCTGCTGAAATTTGCATTTCACCTCTTCATTACACTTTAACCAAACCATTTAAATTTCCTATTACTTCTCTGGTTCATCCCACTCTCATTTCAACCTATCCTATTTTCCCTGGATCCAAACCTAGGCTAAACTTTTATCTCAAAAGCAAATTCATAATAAATTACAATATAAAATTTTAAAACCCACCACAAAAGCTACATTTCTTTTGTTACATTTTTTTCACTTTCAATAAAATGTATTTTTGGAAAAAAAATAAAATTACAAAAGCACATTTGCAGTGCCTCAAGCATGCACTCAGTCCCTCACCTCCCCTTCAAAATTGCACCAAGTCAGATGAAAATGCATTTGAGTCTATTTTCTTAATAAAAAGAAAACACTTTAGATCGCATTCTCTGCCACTTACCCTGCACCCATAGTAACGGTCTACTACAAAAACAACTCTTCTGTTCGAAGCTTATCAATAAATATTGAAGAATGCACCCCAATGCATTTATATCACAGTTCTCATGCATATAACTTGGTGTATACACATTAATAGCAATTTCCCAAAATTCTTTCTCAATATTCAACCGTGAAACTTTTCACTCGCCATATTTTTCAGGAGACGCTGCCCTTGACCCTAATTTCACTTCTGCATGTTTCTCATTTCGCAAAATTGACTTTTGAAGGGGAAGAAGGAGAAAAATGTATAATTCCTGTAACAGAATAGGAAATTGAACCTTTGACCAGAACTAAGATATGATGTATTCACAACTCAATTAATTGTTCCAATATGATGTAATTCAAATTAGTAGTCACCTTTTGTTTTCTCCTTTAAGTTTGCCCGGTTGCTAAGGCAAACAATATTCCATAACAATCATTTCGCTTCAATTTTCTAAACTCCTTTTTTCCCATGCATGTGTTTCATCCGCAGAAGAAGTTTAAGGGAGATCAAGAGTCCAGAACCAACATCTCATGCTGCTGTCACGCTGGATGCAGAAAACCATGAGCAGGTGATACCATCTGGCTTTTGGACAACTTAATTCGTTCAAAAATATGAAATAAAATAAGAACTTTGTTAACTTTATTTGTCAAGGCTAAGTTTAAGCATAAAAATCATATCAAACTTTTATTGAAAAATATTATATTAAAAATATAAAAGTATAATAAATATTTTTAATAAAATATTACTATTTTTAATTATCTAATTTCAATTCTAATGACTGAGGACTGAAGTTAATAAATTTTTATAAAATAAAACCATAGTATGTAATTTTCTCCTTTGGTCTAAAACGCGTACTTCGTTTTTGACCCCAATAACTGTCTTGGACTTTCACCTTTTCAGTTGGTGGTTGACAACGGAATTGTTTCCGTCACTTTGTCAAGACCTGAGGGCTATGTCCTTGGAATATCGTATAACGGAATTGACAATATACTTGAAACTGGAAACGAAGATCAAGATAGAGGGTATGTACCTAATTCATGTGAAATTAATCAAATTAAGTTGGGTTTAAATAATCAAGTTCGGCATAAAAGTTAAATGGACCAAGTCATTGTTTAATTTACCGAATATACGTGTTCATATTTGTAGGTACTTGGACGTCGTTTGGAATGAACCAGGGAAACCTAGTACTTTTCAGAGGTATAATTTTTGTCTTCTCGGTTATATTAATATTAATGTATTGGTTGATTTATTCGTACACTTAATGACAACTAGTGACAAATAAAGTAACGATAGGTTCCTGCATTAAGTGGTTCAAGAGACTAATTTATTTATAATTGAAACCGTGTTGCAGAATCCACGGGACAAATTTTTCGGTTATAGCAGCCGACGAGAATCTGGTGGAAGTTTCATTTTTAAGAACATGGACATCTTCTATGAATGGCTCAAGTGTCTCCATAAACATAGATATAAGGTGGATTATACGACTTGGTTTCTGGTTCAATTTTTGTTTTGCGTACAATTTAGAGAACAAATGTGGACGGGTCGTATTCATAGGTAGGAACTACATGCATGCCAATTACCGTTGTTTGAAACAAAATTATCCATGCAGATACATTTTGCGAAGTGGCGATTCAGGATTTTATTCATATGCAATATTTGATCGCCCTGAAGGATTGCCCGCGGTGGAGGTTGATCAAATCAGGATTGTTTTCAAACTCAGTAATGACAGGTAATAACTTAAAAGAAAATAAAATCAGTACTTTTGAATTGAGAAATAAAAATTTGAATTTATATTTAAAAGAAGAAAGAAAGAAAGTAAATTTATTATTACTGTCCGTAAAAAGTCAATACGTTTTTTTATTTCGTACTGTAAAATTTTAGTTTGACTTAGTTCTTAAACCTTTTGATCTATTTTTATTTAATCCTCGAGTGAATTTTAACACAGGTAAGAAAAAAAAATATATAATCAATGACTAAACTGTTAAAACTATATTCTAAAAATTTAAACTAGAGTAAAGAAGTATTTATGGCAAACTTAATTTGTTGAGCAAATTATATTTATACTTCTCGACATTTAAAGAAAAGAACTTAATATTCCTTTTTCTTTATCATTACTTGAACCTCCCTTAATTCATATCTCTATGAGAAATTAGGGGTGGTATATGTAATTGAGAGAAATATAGAATGTTGTTATTACATAAAGTAAAATTTCGTTACACAAATTTGTTCTAATTTGTGTTGGATTGAAAAGAAAATGCAACTTTGTGATAAACTAAAGGAAAAATGAAATGCTCAGGTTCCAGTATATGGCTATATCAGATGAGAGGCAAAGAAGCATGCCAACGATGAGAGATAGAGAAACAGGTGAAATCCTGGCTTACCCTGAAGCAGTACTATTAACAAGACCAATGAACGCAGAATTCAGGGGAGAGGTAGGAAGTAGGTCTTTATGTATGCTTGTCCCATTTGGCAGAGTTTTACTTTATTGCTGACATTGGTAGAAAATGCCCGTGAATGAATGAATGATTGTGTTGGGGCTCAGGTGGATGACAAATACCAATACTCATGTGAGAACACGGACAACACAGTTCATGGATGGATGAGTCTTGACTCTGATGCACCCGTGGGTTTCTGGATGATAACACCCAGTAACGAGTTCCGCAATGCAGGGCCCATCAAGCAAGACCTCACTTCCCATGTTGGCCCCATCACCCTCTCTGTATGTCCCTATATCCTTTATCTTAATCCCTCCCTACCCAACACAACAATCCCAATCCCAATTTTGATTGTAAGCAGTCCAATTTGTCTTTGGATGACTGATGTTATTTGAGTTTCACTAACCATTTCTCTTACAGTACTGAGGTAAATTTGGGTGAATATCTTGTAAGGAAAAAAAATGACAAAAAATTTATTTATTTTTTATACTAATTTTTGTATAATGATTTTTTTAGAATTTTATTCAAACTAAACTTAATTAAGAAATTTTCAATTATTTTTTAATTAAAAATTATGCTTAAAATAAATTTAAAATTAAGGTAAATGTATTCTAATAATATTTTTTTATACTTTTTATTTTTTAATCAGTATCTTAAGAACAATGGTTAGCATTTTTTATTAATTTATTATGTTTAAAGATTATCTGTCGGAGTGAGGTGAGGTGCTTTCACTTGTTGAGATAATCTGCAGCTACGAGAAGGCTGTAGACACTCCTGGTCCCACAAGTATTTTTGCCAAAGTAAATTGTTGGCGTCCCCTATTAACAGTTACAGGCCCCAGCCCAATCACCGACTAGTGTATATTTTATGTGTATAAATTAAATTTGCATATTTTATTGTGTTAGATGTTTGTGAGTACCCACTATGCTGGCAAGGAGGTGACCATGGCATTTCAAGAAGGGGAGACTTATAAAAAGGTTTTTGGACCTGTATTTGTCTACGTTAACTCTGCTTCAAGCGAGAATGATACACTATCCCTCTGGTCAGATGCTGTGCAGCAGGTACAAGTTACCAAATAGCACCAATCCCACATTACTAGAGTTCTTATCTTTTGGCACATAATTTCAATTTTTTTTTTAAAAATTTTACCAATCAGCAATCCAAGGAAGTCAAAAGCTGGCCTTACGATTTTCCTAGATCCGAAGATTTCCTTCCACCTAATCAAAGGGGAACAGTACAGGGAAGGTTACTTGTCCAAGATCGGTAAATGTCAATGCATTGTTTAGCCAACATTTTATTCTTTAAATACATGTAAATATGACAACAGGTGATGTTCCTTGACTTCCTTGTTTCACCAGGTACATCAAAGGTGGGAGATTTCAATATGCTAACGACGCTTATGTCGGGCTTGCTTTGCCTGGAGAAGCTGGATCATGGCAGAAAGAAAGCAAGGTATATTTGGAATTGAAACCGGTTGTTTGTTTACCATCATTTTCAAATTGCTTTTCACAGTACTTGGTAAACATATGGCAAATTTTGTTTCATCCCTCAATCAATTCTGTGTGAGTAGAATTAATTATAAGAAAAGTGAAAATTTGTTAACTTTATTTAGAAGAGTTCATTTTGCGTGTGTGTGAAGGCATCTTCAATTGAGAATTTCAAATGAGTTGCTAAAATGTAAAAGCAATTTTATATAATTTTTTCTATAATACTATAACAATTTTACTATTTTAAACGATTGAATCAACTTTTCACTCCAACTTAAGAGCATCTTTCGCAGCATTTTTACCCGGTTATTTGCTTCAATTGTATAAAAAAATATACTTGTAAACTAACTTGTGTTATAGAAGCAACTGAAATTTTTTTAAATTTTTTATTCATTTTGTTAGAAAGACTTGTTGAAAAGCGTTTTCTATACATTTTTTTTCTATATAAAAGTAACAGTTTTACTGGTAGAAATAGCCTAAAATTTTGAAAAAGACAGGATTAATGCAGTTAAATTTGAAAAAAAATATATTGACACTCATCAACAATAAAACAGCAACAACAGCGCACGGTGTTCTGACTTGTTGGTTGAGAATTGTTATCCGTTGGTTCCCAGTTATTATTCAAGTTTCTCGACATGTTTCTTTTCTAAGTCCAACCTCCGTTGGAGTTGCTCTACAAATTATATTTTATTTGTGCATAAAAAATCATTTTTGTTTAATAATCAACTAATATCGTTTTCAATTTTTAAAATTTTATTTTCAAATACAAATCAATATTTTCAACCTCAACTCTTTTAACACCAATTTTACTAAAACTAAGAATAAGCATATATAGTCTTATTTTTTTTTGGTCAACAAGCATACTCTTGAATTTGATGGCATTCACAGGGCTACCAATTCTGGACTCAAGCCGATACAGAAGGATACTTCGTCATAAACAATGTTGTGCCTGGTGAATATAATTTGTATGCATGGTTTCCAGGCTTCATTGGTGATTATAGATATAATGGGACAATCAGCATGTCACCAGGTATAATAGAATTTCTTCTACTTTCTTGTGCTCTTAGCCCCAAAATTAGTTATAAATTGCTCAATTGAACAATTACATCTTTGAATCCATAGGAGGAATCATGAAATTGGATTCACTTGTATATAGTCCTCCAAGAAATGGAGCAACTATTTGGGAAATTGGGGTCCCAGATCGCTCGGCTGCAGAATTCTACGTACCAGACCCCTACCCTACGCTTATGAACAAATTATACAACGAGCAGCGCAGAGACAAGTACTCCAAAGCCCATTGTTAACCATTACTGCTTCCATTTGCCTATCTATTTTGTATTATTTCCCTTTTATTCATTCTGTGTATCTATTCTTTGGACAGGTTTAGGCAATACGGGTTGTGGGAACGTTACGCTGATTTATATCCAAATGATGATCTTATTTACACTGTCGGTGTTAACAACTATCATAAGGATTGGTTTTTTGCTCATGTTACGAGGTAATTAAATTTAATTCATGACAATTGTAGGAGAAAACTTACGTATTTGTTTTGATATTTAAGAGAGTACGTTAAAAGTATGTTACCACCATCTCTCTTTATCTTTATTAGATCTTGACTTTAATTTGTACTATGCGCAGAAACACAGGAAATAAGACATACCAGCCAACAACATGGCAGATTATATTTGTTCATCGAAATGAAATAATAAGTGGAAACTACACACTACAACTGGCCTTGGCATGTGCAGCTGATGCTGACCTGCAGGTACACCATTTCAAATTTTACACAATTGAGCTTTTGTGCTATGACTATAGGCTATTATTTTTCACTAACATTTCTCATATGCGTGACCATATTAGGTTCGATTCAATGACCCTGGCGCTTATCCACCCCACTTTGCAACAGGGCGCATAGGAGGAGATAATGCCATAGCAAGACATGGCATCCATGGATTGCATAGGTTGTTCAGCATTGATGTACCGAGTAACCTTTTTGTGAAAGGAAAGAACACTATCTATCTGAGGCAATCAAGAGCCATAAATCCTTTCCAAGGAGTTATGTATGATTATATCCGTTTAGAACGACCTCCAATTCCAACCACTTGAGTGTGTCCAACTTCTTGTTGACGCTGTAAATAGCCTTGTAACTAGACTTGTTGCATTTCATTTAATTCTTTCATCTTGTGGTTAGTGGTAAAGCATGATTAGCTAGAAAGAAATAATTGATTTATAGAATAGATTATTCGTTTTAATATACAGCAGCTTCGTTACATATGTACGCATTTCAAACAACCAATAGTAAAGATGTTCTCTCTCTCTCTCGTACATATATATATATATATATATAACCATTAGAAACAACAAATCAATGGAGTTATATGGACTGCAATGTGAAAGAATAAAGTTTTAAGTCCATTCAATTTAACATATAAATGAAGAATAAAAACTTATAGTCTTGTATTGCACACCTTAATATTCCCTTCAGTCTTTTTTATAATATTTTATAAAAAATAAAATAAAGCATTCTCTTGATTTTTATTATAAAAAATAAATAATAAATTTAAGATACATTAATTGTAAAATTTCTTTTATATCCTTGTTTATTAAGATCATTAGATATACAAATTATTAAATACACCGTTTAATATCATAAGTATTTTTAGAATAAAAATTATATTTATAGAAAACATAACAAATTTAATTATTTTTCTTGATATTAATGATTTAGTCTTTTGTTTCTTATAAAAAGAAACGGTAGGAATATTATTTTACCTACGGGTCAACTTTGTCCCAGCTCGCTTATATATTAGATTATGTTGTCAAAGCTTTGAATAATAAATTAAAAACAAAATACAGAATTTAATGAGGTATTCCATGGTTTAGGCCTAATTGAAAACTCTTTTAAAAGTGATTTGGAAATTTATTTTCTTAAAAGAAATTTGTAGACGAGAGAAAAAAATCTACATTAGTATGACTCTTACGAATAAATAACACAATTATTAATTGTCACATAAATGTAAAGAAATATGTTTTGATTTCTTCTAATAAGAAATTAAAAAAAATTGCATTTAGTAAACAAAATATAAAATAATTTACTTGCATGGACTATATGATAATATAGTAAATTAGTATTTTTGAAATTTTATAATGCATCAATAATAAATTATTTGATGTATTAGTATTATAAATGATTGCGTAGATTAAAAGAAATTGTAAGAGATTAAATAATTATCTTATTTTAGAAATAGAATAAAATTATAAGAAAATTTATAATAAAATATATTATTTTAATCTTTTAAAAGAAAGTATAAAATAATATTTATTTTTATTTTTAAAAATATAAAAAAATTCATAAACTCAACTTTATAATATTTAAATGATAGAGTAATCTATATATTACTATTATAAATTATTATGTATATATTTTATAATTTTATTTTAAATAATAAAATAATATGTATGTGTATTTTATTTAATGTTTAAAAAATTTGGAAAATAAAATCACGTGGTTGAGGAAATGATTTCAGATTAAAAAGAAAAACCCTACACTCTAAACAAATTTAACATACACAAACAATGAATTCAGGTTTAGGAGTTAATATATTGAAAGACGAATTCCATTTACATGACATGCACGTAAAGATAAGATAACCTTTAACAATGTTTTTACAAGAGAAAACTCAAAATAAAAAGAAATGACACTGATAGTATTAAATGATAATAACAATAAAAATTTATCAATTTGATTTACTTATTCATTAATATTATTAGATATCCAAAACTGAACTTTTGTTTTAAAAAATATCAACTCAATTTTTAAGACTCAAATATCATAATATCCCCACTTGGCCTAATGTAAATTTAGTGTCATAATATCCCTAAATTTGCAATCCAAAATATTTGATTTCCACGTAAAATTATTTATAACATTATCATCTACTTGTACTACTTAAAAGGAGGGAAAAATGGAAGGAAACATAAATGGACACCTATGCTATTTTAACCATCTCATAGTGACTTTTATATGACGACGACGACGATGATGTAGTAGAAGAAAGGCCCAAAACCAACACTGGCCCGTACTCCAGTTTGTTTATTATTATTATTATTGTTATTATTTGCTAAAATCTTAGTAGCTCAATTTTATATGTCAATCACAGGCTCGGGCCAGGTCCAAACCATTCAAACTTAGGTATGGACTTAGCATCGTTTATTGCCATTTCTTACCAGAACGGAGGAAACACCTCTTGAAAAAACACGGAAGGGAGCTGCTTTATTTTTGCTCTCCTTTATTTTTATAACATCCCTGTTAAAAGCTTTTTATAATTTTAAAAAATAATCTTCATAATGATTTAAAAAAAAATTGATTTATTTTTTTATTTTTGAAAATACATCTAAAATTGATATCCAAAAATTAAAATTTGGAAGTTTGTATAAAAAATTGTTTCTAGAAAATTAAGTTTGGAGACTTATGTAAAAAATGATTAATTTCAAAGAAGTAGAATTCTAATTCTAAAAACTTGTTTTCAAAACATAGTTAATAATTCTGAGACATTAAGGGGTTTGTTTGGTTCTGTTTTAGTTTTTAATTTTAAAAAATATATTTTAAAATAATTTTAAAAAAATATTTTTAAGAAAAATGAAAATAAAAATTATGCTAATAAACAATTTTTTTTACTTTTAAAAAGAATTTTTTTTTTCAAAAATAAAAAAATTAACAAGCTCTAAGTTTCGAAGTATGAAAAACTAATTTTAGAAATTAATTTTTAGAAGTTTAAAATCTTAATTTTGAAAACGTATTTCTAGAAATATAAACCTTAATTCTGAAAACATTTATAAAAATAGTTAATATTTTTGAAAATTAATTTGTGAAATGCGAAATCTTGAATTTAGAAACTAATTTAATTTAGCAAGCTTCTTTTTATAATTGTAGAATCTTAATTTTGAAAATTTATTTATAAAAATAACTAGTAATTTTGGAAATTAATTTTTGAAATTGTAAAAACATAAATTTTAAAAATAAATTAATTTAAAAATTTTACATATAGAAGTGTAAAATTCTATCAAGACACATGTATCAATTGATAAAAAATTACTTTAACTTAATTTGTAGTCTCAAGTTTAAATATTAGGATTATGAAACTCTTATCAAATATAAATAGTATATTTTGATAGAACTAAGTATAACTTAATCACTTAGGTTTGTTTATTTATGTTTTAGTTTTTATTTTTTAAAATTATATTTGAAAATAATTTTAAAAAATAATTTTTAGAAAAAAATTAATAGTTAATTTAGTTTTCAAAATTTTTTTTAAGATAAAAAAATAAATAAAAAACTAAAATACCTTAAAAATAAAAAATTGTTTTTAAAAATATTTTTTAAGATCTCATTTTAACAAATAAGTTTTTTTTTAAATTTTAAAAAAATATTTTTAAAAATAAGCGACAAACAAACCCTTAATTTTTTCTTCGATTATTATTATTTTTTTTTACCATTTTAGTGGCTGCTAATTTTGTGCTACCGCCTCCTTAATTATTGTTATTTTTTGACGAATATACTTATAATATGGTTCGATCTAGCAACTTTTAATTGTTACTACATAAATAGTTTGAGAAGTATGGAGAGAAAGTCTTAGATAAATACAAATATTTGTTGATGATTGGATTTATCTTATATTCAATTTTTTTGCGATCAAATCCTTTCAAAGATTTTAACCGTATTCACAATAAATTGCTATTGGTTCTCCATTAAAAATGTATTTCAAAATACGTAAGAATTTTGTTAGATAAATTTATAGCTAACGCTTCTTTTAACTTAACCTTAAAATTTTCTCTAACGATACTGTTATAAATTTTTTATTTAGTTGATTTATTATTATTTAATATGATAAAATGTTGATTGTTATCATTTAATCAATAATTAATTGTTTTTGAAATTATGAAATTCAAATATTTATTTAAAATAATTTAAAATGAATATAATCTTATTAAAAATTTATTGGTTCAGTAAATAATTTTCATGCTTATAGACTTTAATTTTTTTTATAAATTTTAAAAATGTATAACTTCAAATATTTTTGTGCAAAATTAGAGAAATCAAGTCCAAGAGGTATTGCAAAGTTTGCCTAACTTTTCACACAATTAATAAGTTAAATTTAAAACTATTGTTATCTTAATTATTATTTACTTTAAATTTAAAACTAATTTTTCTAAATCTAGCAACAAGTGACAATGATATTATTAAGGATAAGTAATCTTAATATTTTCAATAATTTTCATATATATATATATATATATATTTAAAAAAGCTTTTGACATAGATAATTTTATTTTATTAATTTTTTTAACATGTATAACATTAGACAAAATAAGAAGTTGTGTATGATTATATTTTATTGAAAATTATAGAATAAATGTAATTAAATGCAAATTAGATACTACAATTTTTCATAAAAAATTATCATACATAACTTCTTATGATATTTAATATTGCATGGTATAAGTTGTATATAACAAATTTTTATTTAAAATTATATATTTATTTTTAATTTTCCATCTAGTTTAATCTAAATCTGATCCGGTCGCGTACTTAGATGTGGTGAGTGAGTTTACTATTAGAAATTTTTTGCATACATAAGGACTGCAATTCAAAATCTAGTTTAAAATTATATAATTTAATGTAATGATATTATTAAATTACATAATTCAAATGCATTGGTATGATTAAATTATTATAATTTTATATAAAAACTTATCATATATGACTTAATAAGTTAGAAAAAATAGTTATTTTATTATCTCTATAAAATTTAGATAATGTTGTTAATTTGGATAGAGTCTAAGAAAATTTATCTCGTTAAAATCTTCAAATTCAGTTAAAATTTGCAATAGAGTCCAACAAAATTTATCTCTTAAACTATAAATTCACTCTAATTTTCTAATCTCTCTTCTCTCTCACACACACAGGTGAAGCACTGAAGCTGCTGATTTCGTGGGTTAGGGTGGCACAAGAAAAGAAGCATGAATTTAACTAGGAAATATGGTTTGCTGATTGGAATACAGTTGTGCTTGATCCTTGGGTGCTCTTCGATGACTTTATTTAGGTTTCCCTCATCTCCTACTCTTATTTTCCCAATGACTTTTAATAATAAACCAAATTCTCATGAAAAGTAAAAAACTAGACTTAGAGTCTCGAAATTATATATCATGAATAACTCAAACAAGAGTTTACTTACATCATATTAATAAATTAAGTACATGTATGATGTATGCATGATTGGTATTTTTTTTTTCGATAAATATATATTTTTTCACAATAAGTTGAATCAAATACATCAATTTCAAGTAGGTAAATAACGTCTCACGGGGGTTAGTAAATTTAAACAAGATTATCTTTTATAGAAAATATTTGTGATCTTAATCATTAGAATTTTATTGTAGGTTTGATCCAAGAGTAAATGAGAAAAAAGTAAATTTGAGCTTGAGTGACTTATATTTATCTCAAAAGCTTTGACTGTTGGAATTCATTACTCTTCTAACTTTTAAAAGTTCTAATTTATTATTGGTAATTCACTGATATGAAACTTTATTATCTAAATTAAGAAGAAAACCAAACTAAAGGGGTTGAACCAAAAATCATAAGATTAAAATAGATAAATAAAACTCAATAGTGGATGCTTTTGATTCGATTTTTTCTGCATGCGCTGCATCGATACGCAATTCTATTTCATACTGCTTCAACTTACACCATGCAGTTTTCATTGCAATGCACAGATGTTTAGGAAAAATTATAAGGTTAAGAAATAGTGATTCAAACATGTTCAAAAATTTCTTATTTTAATTCCGTTGAATATGTATAATGCTGTACTTATGATAACATAGATTTTTCATCAATTTGTTTCGTCAACACTATCCTTCTTATTGCAGGAATTTAAGGGAGATCAGCAGTCCTAAATCATCTAATCAACCTGAAGTCAAACTGCATGAAGAAAACAAGCAGGTATTTAAAATGTTTTTGGTGTTACTTTTAAATATCGAAATAAAACTTAAAAATTTTTCATTGAGTATAAAAAATTACTTAAAAAAATTGTACCGTTTTGTCCTTGTTAAAATCCCTTATAATTTTAGTCAACAGTAATTATGTGGCCTCTAACTTTTACAATTGGGTTTAATCTTCAGGTGATACTGGAAAATGGCATCATTCGTATGACTTTGTCAAAACCGGAGGGCACTGTTCTTGGAATATCATATAATGGAATTGATAACGTGCTTGAAGGTCGCAACAAATATAACAACAGAGGGTATACCTACGTTGTTAATTGCAAAAGTTGATCTTTCCTATATCTAAAAATTAGTTTCAGACCATGCATTGTTTAATTTACTGAACGAAGACATTCCGTTTTGCAGGTATTTTGACGTTGTCTGGAATATACCAGGAAATACATCGAAACTTTCGGGGTAATTGTTCTCCATAATTTATTTTAAATTATAATATGAATTTATTTAAAATATATGAGAATACAATTTTTTACATTATTATTTAATAATATAATTTTATATTAGTATTTTTTATTTTTATATAACTAATTTAAAGATTATACTTCTATTATATATTTTAATTAATGATATTATAAATTTTTTATACCAATCGTACGTTGAAATTAAATCTGTAATATATAAATATTTGGAGACCTATAAGTAATTCAAGTAATCGTAATGACAAAATAAATCATTGATTAATTTATATCTTTGATCTACAGAATGCATGGGACTAGATTTTCTGTTATAGAGGCCAGCGAGAATCAAGTAGAGGTTTCATTTTCAAGAACGTGGGATATGGACGGCTCGAGCCCCCCCTTAAACATAGACAAAAGGCGAGTTTTTGTCTTCTCTTTCTCAAACACCACACATTCTTTTTCTAAAAAGGTTCTATATGCAAGGAGGTGAGCAAATAGAAAATCAAAAATATTTTTCACATGGCTATAGAAAAACAAATATATTTTGTTCACATTGGATAAAAGTAATTATTGTGTAACATCCTGCGACTTAGATGACAAATAAAAACATAATTTGTATAATTGACTTCCGTGAAGTATTGAAATGTGTCAAATTTTGCAGATATATTTTACGTAGAGGTACTTCAGGATTATACATATATGGTATATTTGAGCGTCCTGAAGGTTTTCCTGCTGTCGAGATTGACCACATTAGGGTCGTTTTTAAGCTACAAAAGGACAGGTAAGTAGAAAAGCAAAGCATCACTACCATATAATACCCATTCCCAAACATAATCATAACAGTTTTCTATAATTATATTATTAAATATGTACTCATCCCATCACTCAAACTAATAAATTAAATCTCACCTGCACAGGTTTCACTATATGGCTATAGCAGATGATAGGCAGCGAGTCATGCCAACGCCAGAAGATAGATCCGTAGGGCAACGCCTTGATTTTGATGAAGCTGTTCTAATAACCAATTCTGATGACCCAGGGCTTCGAGGAGAGGTAACTCTTTTTCTTTTATTTCCTTTTTTTTAATTTAATTTTCCTCAAATGTTTTATGGTTGCACCTCATAGCATATCTGGAAAATTTATCCGGGGAAGATAATTTTTTCATAAAATTATTAACCCAGTTTTTTTGTTGTTGATTATGTGCTTGATTTTTTAGGAAGTTAATGAGCTTGATTTTGATATAATAGAAAATGTTAATGAACTGGATTGGGCTTTGACCAGGTGGATGACAAGTATCAATACTCTTGTGAGAATAAAGATAACAAACTTCATGGATGGATTAACTTTGACTCCAAGTCCGACAAGTCAGTGGGGTTTTGGATGATAACACCAAGTAATGAGTTCCGTAGTGGTGGGCCAATCAAGCAAGGTCTCACTTCTCATGTAGGACCTGCCACCCTCAATGTAAGTCCAAAACCTTTTTAATCCATATCTTTCCAATTCAAATCCACAATAAACATTGTTTTGTTAGATACAAGATAAACCTTACTGAAAAATGTAAAACCAAATTCTGTTGAACCAGTGATAATAATTGTTCACATCTGTTGAAGATTGCAATTGACCACTCAGCCTATCACGCTCTTTTGAGTAATTTTAACATGAACACAATATTAACAAGCACAACCGGTCTAAAGTTCAAAATATAATAATAAAAACAACAATAACATTGTATGTGTTGAGGTTTGTGCTAAAATCATTTCAAAATTCTTTTAACCTTTAAATTGGTTGTCTCCATAGACTGATATTAGCACTGCATGAACTGCTCTTTTGATTGATCAGTGTGGAAAATATTATTTTAGCATCCTATTTAATTCGATGAATTTTATTATGTCCAGATACTTCACACTACCCACTACTCCGGGAAGGAGGTAACTATGGCATTTCAAGAAGGGGAAACTTTCAAGAAAGTTTATGGCCCAGTTTTTGTCTATCTCAACTCGGTTACAAGGGACCATGATTCACAAGCTCTCTGGGCTAATGCTGTACAACAGGTACTACGACTAACAGCACTTACATATGTCATTGAAAGTGTGCTTATCAAAACTTAATTTGACTGGTAATTTTTCTGCATTTACTTCACTTAGTTGTCTGAGGAAATCAAAAGTTGGCCATATGATTTCCCTAAATCAGATGCTTTTTTCCCACCCAACAAACGGGGAAGAGTGGAAGGACAGTTACTAGTCCAAGACCGGTACATGTTCGTTCATCATCTATTTTATTTTATAATATTTTGTGATATAGAAGTGCTAATGTTCGTTCCCTTTGCCACCAGACACAATAACGGGGGGAGATCTGTATATGGAGAAAATGCTTATGTTGGTTTGGCTCTGCCAGGTGATGTGGGATCATGGCAAAGACAAAGCAAGGTATTTCTGCTCATGAAATCATTGGCACCATTGAATGAGAAAAACATTAATGTCATGTGCACAATGAGATACTAAAAAGATTCACCTAATATTATCACTGTTTACAGGGTTACCAATTCTGGACTGAAGCTGACAAAGTGGGTCATTTCACAATTGAAAATGTAGTACCGGGGGACTACAATTTATATGCATGGGTTCCTGGCGTTTTTGGGAATTATAAATATAAAACTACTATAACCATCACACCAGGTACAAATTTTTCCATGAATTTCCTATAAGATTTCTAGTATAAGTTAACCTTGATATCTGAAGCATAAAACAGCACCAATAGGGGACAAGATTAGTCATTCTCAAAATTTTTAACTCGTCTCATTAATACGATTGTTCTTTATTGTAGGATGTTTTATCCAATTGGGTTCATTAATATACAATCCTCCAAGAAATGGACCTACCATATGGGAAATTGGCATCCCAGACCGCTCTGCTGCCGAGTTCTATGTTCCGGACCCTTATCCTAACCTCATGAACCGATTATACATTGGGAAACCAAAAGACAAGTTAGTGAAAATCTCTATAAAAAATTACTAATGCTTTTGAATCTTGTACTATTTCTGTTTCTTTTAACATACCATTTCTACATCGACAGGTTTAGACAATATGGATTATGGCAGCGTTACACTGAATTATATCCAACTCAGAACCTTGTTTATAATGTTGGTGTTAGTGATTATAGTAAAGATTGGTTTTATGCTCAAGTTCCGAGGTAATATGATCAATTTTATGGATCTAACAATTATGCAACTATTAATTGTTGAGATTCAATTTATAGATTTGACTCTAAATTTCAATGCATGCAGGAACATAGGAAATAACACATTTCGCCCAACAACATGGGAGATTAGATTTCATCTCCCATCTGTTATAAGAGGAACCTACACCCTACAACTTGCCTTGGCCTCTGCTACAAGGTCTAACTTACAGGTAAATGATGAGAGTCTTAATTGATGATTAGTTATAGTTGTTTTGTTCTATGACTATTATAAATAATGAATTTGGATCTTCTAGTATTCTTAATTATGATAAATGTTTAGAGAGAAAAAAACAATTTTTATCAAATAAAGACCATCCAAGTTGTAGGACCTACTAATTAAATTTGATAAAATCTGTCTTTTTCTCTCTAGTTCATTCATATTTATCATGTTACTCAATATCACGAGGACCCAAATCTTTATTATAATTTCACTAACACTATTGAAATGGTTGTTTAGGTTCGGTTCAATAACCCTCTGGCACGTCCTCCACATTTCTCCACGGGATTAATAGGCCAAGACAATGCTGTAGCAAGACATGGCATCCATGGATTGTACTGGCCATATAGCATTGAACTAGCAAGCCATCTATTGGTAGAAGGAAGCAACACCATCTATCTGAGGCAGGCCCAAGCTCTAAGTCCTTTTCAAGGAGTTATGTATGATTACATCCGTTTGGAAAGACCTCGAACTTGAAGCATTGAATCGCGCAAGAGACAAGTTAAATTGAATGTTGTTGCATTACTCTCTATGATTTGTCAGTCTTTCATTTCAGTCATTAATAACGTAGTTGATATAGGTTAGATAGCATAATTGATTTTCAGAACAGAGGGAATAAAATAATTATGTAAATCTTCAAGTTATTGTTATTATTATTATTATTTTTGCTTTTCTGATCGTCTGAACAATGATTCAATTCGTTAATTTGCATTGAAATTGATTTATTTAATTGATTACATGTAGTTGTTCCCCTGTGCTTCATTTAATTCTTTCTTCTTTCTCATTGTCCACTGTACAACTTCTTATTGCCTAAACTAAAAAAATGTACTGAAACTTTAAGTTCTTACACAGGTCTGGAGATTACACGTTTGTGCATCTCTGAGCAGAATGTCAGGCAACATTCAATCTAGTACAATAAGTCAGGTCTCTTTTATAAAAACATTTTGAAAAGTTTGTTTTGGTCTGTTTTGTAAATTATCGTCCAAATTGTTGTCATAGGTAAAAAAAGAAAAACAATTTAAACGGTTTTATTTTACAACTAATTTTAATCATTCTATTATTAATTTTATAGTTTTTGAAAATAAAATTGATACTTAAAAATCCATGCCATTAACTTTGAAATTTCACTTATCTTTGTTTAATGTTGTAAATTCTAAAACCGATTGTAGAGTTTAGAACTATATATTAAAGAAGTTGTGAACCATTGGGAGAAAAAATTGCCTCTAATTTCTTTTATAAATTAAAATAAATCAAACTATGACATTTTTTTTTTGTCAAGGTACAATAATTTAATTTAAACATTTATTAAAAAACTAATAAATTCTTCTTTATAAATTTATTTTGAAAGTTTTAAAAGTAAATTAATTCGAATATAACTCTTTAGCAAAATGAAAATTCTAGCAGGTAGGCGTATAAGTAATAAAATTATTTTGATAGCAGAATATACGCCATGTTACCTAATTGCTCATTTTTATTTAACAATTTCATAATTAAAATATTTACACTCTATCTTATATTTTAAAATTTTAACTATGAATATTATAATTTTTGACATTTTAATTTTTATTTATTTTACAATGGTATTGGATAATAGTTAATTTTTATTTTTCTTTTAACTTAAGTATTTGAATAAATATACTTACTTTTTTAAGACTACATATATGTGTGTGCACAATGATATTAAAATTTTAATCGTTACTCTTTTAATCAACAAATGCCCAAATAGTACAGAATATTTTACCTGGTGTACTCATACTTTAATTAGTTAAATTGTATTATTTTATGTTTTGTAATTTCGCGCCATAAACTAGAAGGTGTCACGTTGCCCTTAATTGTAAGGAACATAATTTGTTTTCGAATATTTTATTAAAACTATAGGTACCACACATTACCAAGGTCCATTTAAAATAGCATTGAGGCAGCACCATTTGCCACATGATTGTGTGGTCTCATATCTGCCTTCGAGTCACATTCTCAGTCCAAGTTCTTTCGTTAGTGAGCAACATATCCAAATGACGCTTCCACCAGAGATGGAGCATCCCAAGAAAGCTTTTGGATGGGCAGCTAGAGACACATCTGGGGTTCTCTCCCCTTTCAAGTTCTCAAGAAGGTACTCATTTCTGTTTAATTTGGCTGTGCTTTTCCTGTAATTTAGAAATATCAAGTATTTCATTGTTGGGTCATTTGGGTGACCAATTTTTTTAATCATTTTATGGTACAACGTGTTAATTAGATGTATTAACAGGAGAGAAAGATGTAACATTCAAAGTGTTATACCGTGGGATATGCCACTCGGACCTCCATATGGTGAAGAATGAATGGGGCACTTCCACTTACCCCTTAGTACCTGGGTATGCTTCGTGCTACATAAACATACTGTTTTTTCTTATTTTATTAATCTACATAAACATACCAATGTTTAGGCAAACAACTTAAATATTTATGCAATAAATTCTTATTGCGTGAGAATTTATAGCATAAATTTCATCATAAAACGTTTTAAAATATGTTAGAAATAACTTATTTTAGCATGTCACCCAAAAAATATTATTAAAATAAATTACGAAGAGTTTTTACAAAAGTTATAAATTATTTTCTTAAGCATAAATAAACTCGTTCGTTATATGCTCTTTCAAATATTTTCTAATTTTAAAAAATCACGTGTTAAATTTTTGAAACTGAAATCATATGTTATCTACTATAGATTAAAAAAATGAGATAATTATCAACAATAAAATGTATTTCATTCGTCACATATTAATTAACTTTAGTTACTTAGAAACGGAAACTATGTTTGAAAGGACAAAATCAAATGAGTGATGTTTTCAGTTTTTCATTTTTCTCTGACATTGTTCTTATTTCAGTTTGACTGCCCTGTTTTTGAAGGCTAAGTTTAATCAAAATTGTGCTTTTGTTTATCAGTAACAAGTTTTCAAGTGTCTATGCACTGGATAACATCACTAAGATAAATACATTGAATTCTAATGTGAGTTCCAAAATGTAGGCATGAGATTGTGGGTGAAGTAACAGAGGTGGGAAGCAAGGTACAAAAGTTCAAAACAGGAGACAAGGTGGGTGTGGGGTGCATGGTTCAATCCTGCAGTTCATGCCGAAGCTGTGTAGACAATCTTGAGAATTACTGCCCAAAGATAATTCTGACATATGGTGCTAAGAATGTTGATGGCACCACCACATATGGAGGCTACTCTGATTTGATGGTTGCAGATGAACACTTTGTGATCCACATTCCAGAAGGGTTACCTCTTGATGCTGCGGCTCCTCTCCTTTGTGCTGGGATCACAGTTTATAGCCCTTTGAGATATTTTGGACTTGACAAGCCTGGCCTGCAACTGGGTGTGGTTGGTCTTGGTGGGCTTGGCCATATGGCTGTCAAGTTTGCTAAAGCTTTTGGGGAAGGTCACTGTTATTAGCACATCTCCCAACAAAAAGAAGGAAGCCATTGAACATCTTGGAGCTGACTCGTTTGTGGTCAGCAGTCACCAAGATCAGATGCAGGTACCTTTTTCAACATGAAAGTGTGTTCAATTATTTTGGCTTTTTTAAATGATTTTTTTTAACTAATAATTTCTTTTTTATTATTTTAATTTTAAAGCTCTATCAAATAGCTTAAAAATTTGTGATTTTTTTCTAAAATAAGCTGAACCTGAATCAAACATAGTTGTATTTGCTATAGTTATTGATCAACTTCTAATGTCATCCCACTTATTGCATTTAGGCTGCAATGGGCACCTTGGATGGTATAATTGACACAGTTTCTGCTGTTCATCCTCTGTTTCCTTTGATTGGTCTGTTGAAGTATCATGGGAAACTTGTCTTGGTTGGTGCACCAGATAAGCCTTTTGAGCTACCGGTCTTTCCTTTACTTTCGGGTAAGCATATGGAAAATAATACCATGTTTATAGTCAGTAAAGAGCCTTCATCCAACTCGGAATTGAAATAACAGTTGCATTATTTAAACTACCTAAAATTGACACACTGCAATTTTGTTTCTCACTTGCTTTTACCTAAAAATACATTTGAAATCAAAAAATCGTAAAGAGCTATGAATGACACTGTAAAAAAAAGTAAGCTCACAGAATAGACACAAGAAGAAATGAAGAAGATGATGAAAAATAGTATTTTTTTTAATCGAGAAAAGTGATAAATGAATATACAAGTTGTTGTTATATACAATTACAAACTATTTTTTTAACAACTAATTGACTTACAGTTATAACTAAATAACTGAAATCTATATGCTAAGATCCCCCCCAAGCTAAGGAATGAATATCATTCATTCCTAGCTTGGAGTGAAGAAAATGAAAAGCGCTGGGAGAAAGAACTTTGGTGTAGATATCAGCTAATTGGTTTGCAGATGAAATATGTAGTAACTTGATTAGACTAGAGAGTAACCGTTCTTTAACAATGTGGCAATCAATATCGATATGTTTGATTCTTTTGTGGAAGACAGGATTGGCGACTATGTGAAGAGCAAAACGATTGTCACAAAACAACAAAGCATGTTGTCGAAAATCAACATGAAAATCTTGGAGTAAGAAAGTAAGCCATTGTAATTTACATGTGGTACTAGCAAGAGCACGGTATTCTGCTTCAAAAGAACTACAAGACACAGTTGCCTTTTTTTTTATTTCCATGAAATTAGAGAGAAACCAAGATAATTTGAATAACCAGTAATTGATTTGCGGGTGTCAATACATCCAGCCCAATTTGAATCACTAAAAGCTTTTAGTTGAAGTATGTTGTTTGATGAGAAATGAAGTCCTTGACCTGGAGCAGCTTTAAGGTAGCGCAGAATCCTAGAAGCTGCTTGCTGATGTGCAGATGTGGGATGAGACACAAATTGACTAAGATGTTGTACTGCAAAAGTAATGTCTGGTCGAGTGTTAGTGAGATAGATTAATCGCCCAATGAGTCTTCGAAAAGAAGAAGATTCTATATTAGATAATGGAAGACCAGATGTCTGATGTAGTCGTGTACAATAATCAATTGGTGTAGAAGCCGGTTTGGATCCTAGCATGCCAGCATCATTAAGAATATCCAGAGTGTATTTTCTTTGACATATATTAATACCAGATTGGCTTCGAGCAATTTCAAAACCAAGAAAGAATTTTAAATCTCCAAGGTCTTTTATACGAAAAACAATATCCAACATTTTGGTGATATGAGATATTTCAGAAATGTCATTTCCAGACAAAACAATGTCATCAACATATACTAGTACAGCAGTAAAAGACTTTTCTTTATGTTTGGTGAACAATGAATAATCAGAAACAAATTGCTTATAGCCACGTGACATGAGAAAAGTAGATAATTGAGCATACCACTGCCTACTAGCTTGTTTTAAGCCATAGAGAGATCTTTGAAGTTTGCACACTTGGCCAAGTTTAGATGATTTCATTCTTGGAGGAAGTACCATATAAACTTCCTCATTAAGATCACCATGTAGAAAAGCATTG